AGCGACATCCTCGCAGAGTCGTCCCTTGAATCGCCCCATGCAAGCCGCATGCCTTAGACACTGTAGCGCGCAATCGGCCTGGACTTGGGTCTGCACCGGGACCGCTCAGCTCGGATGCCAGTAAAAAGGTGCGAGAGAAAAAAAAAACACAGCTCCTCATGTCGTCCCAGACCCCTTTCTGGCTCCGGGATCGGTTCCAGACCCCCTCCTCGCTCCGAGATCGGAATTCCTTCGTGAAGCCGCAGGTCCGCTTGTTTCCATTTGGAATGTACGCCGTTTCACGCTGATCCTTGGTGGGGCTGGACGCGTACGTTCAGCGCCCCTGGTGGGGGCGAGGGGGGCGTACCTTATGCCTTACGCTTGGAGCAAGCAAACAAACGGAGAAGGGTGTTGGTACTTTGTTGGGCTGTGAGTTGTGAGGGATTTTGCGCATGTGTTGGCTCGGATTTTGGGAAACTGCACTCCATCTTTCGTGGAACGTAAAAGCAAGAACTGTGCGCAAATAGTCGCGAGGTGTTGCAAAGCTTCTCCCAGCAATCTGGTTTGACGAGGTTAGCCCAAGCCCAACAGCGCTGCGCAGCGTGTGGCACCAAGGTGCAGCCATCTCGGAAGTCGCAAATTCCTGTTGCAATTATAAATTACAAGCCATCTCGCGTATAGCCAGCTGTGTTATCGCAGCTCGGCAGAGTGAGAGGGATAATCTTGAACACTTGAGCATGCAAGGGAAGGTGTTGTCGACCGATGCAGTTTCAGTTCTGAGGTTTGAACGTGCAGGTGTGCCTGGTGCCTTCCCCGAGAGTGTGGGTTTTTCGCTGTGGCACATGTCTTGCCACGATTCATTCCAACTGCATGATGCCAAGGAGCGAATGTTGATCATGTTGCCGAAAACTCGGACTTGCGGAGGAGGTTTCTCCCTCAATCGATGAAAGCTGAATGGCTGAAGTTTGGCATCCAATGCAAGCTCAAGGCTCAGCGCATGTATGGCAGAGTTGGAAACCCTTCGGCATGAAAACGACGGCCCGGAACTTGGATGCGGGGTTGTTTGGCCGACGAAAATCAGAGCGGCGTGCTAGCCTGATAGAAATGCAAAGGAGCTTCCGGGACTGTTGTTTCGGGTTGGCATCGTGAGGCCTCCGCGCCCACCGGGAAACATCGCAACAGGCCTGCTGCTTACATGGTGTTACACATTTCAGTTACCAACTTTGGCCTCCTGTTGGGTCATAGGGTACATTGCCATAGCCTGTAGCAAGGTGATGATGCAGCTCCACTCGGAAAGGGAACAGCCACGTTCCGAGCATTCTTGTGGAGATGTTGTCGTTGTATGGCGATTGGCTTGTTTGTCCGCCGAGGTTGCACCAGGCCCATATCAAGTTGCAGGAAGAACACAAGCAAAGCGACGAACTCAACGTGCATAGAAAGCATCATTCATGAGTCCAGATAGGTTGAAATTCGGTTGTCTGTTAGAGTGCTTCAGGCAGTGCAGAACGAGGCCGATTTCAAGATTTGCACAGCCAGGAACTTATACCGGAACCGGTAGTGGAAAGCTCACAGACGTGATGTCGCTGCGTAGGCCAGGAGCAAGAGCATCGCCAGAGGTTGGAGCCACACACCTGGCCAGATGCAATGTTCAATCCATTTTGCCGTTCTCATTCATGTCCACTGATGCCATTATATCGGGCCAGCATAAGCAAGCTGTTTGCAACATGTAGTGGCTGCTAACTTCCACAAACCCAAGAGGTCATCGACAGGTCTATGTTTCATCCAGGGCGTTTTGGAAAAGCTTGGAGCGCCATGAAGAAATGGGGCAGGAATGCGAATGCTGTTGTTTTCACTAGTTGAACCTTGTCGGTCCTCGAGTCGGCTGTGAAGCCATGGAGGAAGCTCGGGCAATGCTGGATGCCCTCATGGGCCCCAGCCGCAACCAGGACCAGGCCACCAAGGACACCGAGACACCAGACTTTGCGGACGAAAAGGTGCCGGGCTTAGATTAACGGAGTTCTTGGCGCGCGGTTGTTATGGAGCTCAATGCAGGTCGGCTGTGATCGGCTGAGGTTTGCAAGAACTTTTTGGTTGGTTTCTGCCCTCACGACTGGTTCACCACGTCCAGGCGCAAGATGCCTCCCTGCAATAAGATCCACTCGGAGGTTCTCCGCGACACGTTTGAGGCCCATCCCGAGGTTGCTAAATATCGGCGCGCGTTCGAGGAGCAGTTTCTGAAGTACCTGGCAAAAGTCACACGTGAGTGCGACATGTTCATCGGTCGGGAGAAGATTAAATGCAGGCCAAAAGGTTCGGGAGGCGTAACCACGCGAATGCCACCGGACGTGCAAGAAAAGTACGATGCCTTGCAGAAGGAGCACCAGAAATTGGTGAAGGGGGCTGAGGAGACGGCTGATGAGTCTCTCAGCCGAAGTGAGGAGCTGACCAGGCAGGCTCTCGAGGTGGAGCAGGAGCTGAATGATTATCAGAAGCGCTACCGATTTGAGTTCCCTGGTGAAGAGGTTTGTGAGGTGTGTGGTGTTCGCTACGCTTCGCAAGCAGCGGACAATCCAGATTGGCACGAGCGTGCTTCGCACCTCAATGGCAAGATGCACCATGGCTGGTTGCAGATTCGGCAGAAGTTGCAGGAGCTGAAAGAGAAAGAGCGCCTGTGGGAGCGCGAGGATTATCGAGAGGAGCAGAAGGCGAACGGCAAGGCGAAGAAGCCGAAGCGGGGCAAGACGACTTCCAGTGATCGACAGCGCTCCAAGGCGAAGCGCTCGCGTAGCCGAAGGTCCGGTAAGCGGAAGAGGAGACAGCGTCGACCCAGCTCTGCATCAAAGCATGCAAGGAATGCAAGGCACAAGAATCGGAACTCCAGGGATCCAAGTGAGAAGAAGAAGAAAGCCAGGAGGAAGCGTTCCAGCTCGAGCTGAGCAGGCGGTGCAGAAAGGGCCGAGAGACGTTTCAGAGAAATCTGATCAGAGATAAGGCATGTGCGAAAGGGCTTTTCCATGTGATTCCGAGGTTACAGCTTCACAGCCAGGCGGAAGAGAGGGAGACTGCTCTGACTGCCCGCCAGGAGGGAAAGTGACGACGCAAGCCGTAAGCCGCCGTAAGCCGTAAGCCTTGGCCTTTTCGACTGCTCTCGGCTGAAGGAGATGTTGCAACGAGAGCATCAGAAGGCGGCCCGTGCCATCTCGCTATTCTTCGGCTTGCTGTCAGCGGCAGGTGTGGGAAGATCTGCAGCAGTACCGGCAAAAACACAACGACAAGGTTTAAGATCTGTGATTGCCGACTGCGAGACTGTTGTGGTGACTTTCCAGGAGAGAAACTTGCGGGCATTTGTGCGGCTGGCGTCGGGGACTTTCACATTGGCAGACGGTTGAAGTGCCGTACATGCACACGTTGTCGATTCGCTTCGGTGTATGACAGGCAAGATGCTTTCTCCATGGTAACGGAGCTTCAGGCCTTGACCTTTCTGCGGACTCGTTTTTTCGGAGGCGGCGTGAGTTTGAGAGGAGAGTTTCGTGGAGCAGACTCGCCGATATCAGGAGCAGGGCCCCCGGGCCCCCTTCTGCTCTTCGCACGCAGGTTCCCTGGTCGGGTCAGCTCTGCTTTCCCAGGTTGTCACAGCGTGTTCGTGCCCAGCAGCAAGAGATGCAGCAGGATATCTTGGAGGCTGGTACAAAGATGTTTCGCTTGAACTTGGCGGGATGATGCCATCTAGAAGAAAGTACTCAAGCACGACCTCAACTTGCAGCACCCCAACCCTGAGCCGCCCAGCCTAACCGAACTTCACGGCGGACCCAAGTGTTGGCATGCTCCCGAGGCTATACAACAGCACTCAGACTCAAGCCGGGTCTGGTGCACTGGCTTTGGGTGCATGCTGCGTTCAGTCTGTCGTGGGCGATCATGTTTTGCCCACTATAACAGCCGACCATGCCAGTATCTCTAGGAGATACATGCTTCCTATAGTAAGTTGACCGGTAGTATCCTCACGGCCAGACCTCACAGGACGAAGGTTGTAGTCAGACTTGGTGGGAGTGCCGCTGCAAGAAACGAGTTGACCGTCTTTGTACCTGGTCTTCTGCTTGGTGCATAGCTAATCTCCCCTAAAACGACTGGGCTTGCTTGGCTTGCACTTCCCGATGCCCTGTGTCCAGAGACGGGGAGAGAGAATTGAGAAACTTCCCGACAGCTGGGCGCAGGCATGCGTTCTCAGAGATTTCACGGAGCCTGAAACGTCCCTTTCAGTATTGTCCTGCAGTGCTGCCCGGCTGAAATTAGCGGAAACTTCTTAATCTTTTGCCACCTCGGAAGGCGGAGCAGGTGGCTGCACTCTCCCTGCAATGCGCCGGCGAGCTGAAGAGTGTTCTAGGCACGAAGTGTACGTCTACCTACGTATCATGCTGTGCAGCATCTCGTCCTGAATCGGATTGGGAAGGTCACGCGCGTGACATGAGTTCGGCTGGGGAGGCCAGCAGGATATGCAACCAGAAGTGTCAGTTCGTTTCAGGCTACCTTGTTCAGGAGCAATGGAAGCAAGATGCCCACCGACTGCAAGAGCAGCTGCACAACCTCCACGCGTCATGGGCTCATGACTCGATTTGAGAAGGAGTTCCTGGCTATGTTTGCACATTTGTACGGTTCCAGGAACCATCGGGAAGCGGCCAGAACTGTGCGTGAGTTTCGCCAGGCACAGCTGATCGTGAGATGAGTTGCTTCTGGTGTGTTGACGGCCAGTGAAAGTAGTGAAAGGCAGATGATGCAAGAAAGCAGGAGGAGAGCCAGCAAGTCGGATTCAAGGCACCAACCTGAGCCTCATCGCCTGGCAGGAGGATCGTCGAAGAGAGGAGCAGGAGAGCCACTGGGTGTGTGGGTCCGGATTGGGTCATTTGATGTCCTGCAACTCGGGGCTCAAGGCGAAGCAGGCCGAAGAGAGGAAGAAAACGATGATGGAGCGCAGAAGCCTTTGCCAGCTTGCCATTTGCTGGTTGCGAGAGAAGCACCCCTGAAATTCCAGTGAGGCCACGGACTCGTCACCAGCCCTAACATCATCAGGCAGATGGCGCAGGCAACGGTCGAGTGCTGATGCCATGTCGTGGTTCCCGTCATCATGATAAGCAGGAACGCAGGTTTACGGAAGCTTTGAACTCTGTTCTGCAAAAGCGTTCGACAAAACCGGTGTCAGATTTTCAAAACGGTCGTGCGTGGACAGGCCATGGTTGGCATTGAAGTGGACAAGATTGTGACGACCTTGGTTTCCTGATGTGCTGCTTCGTGCTGAGAAAGGCTTGGGCCTATTGGGATGTGCGCGTTTGCAAGGACCAGAAAAACAGACGAGAGAAGCCAGACGCCTTTGAGATTCTATTGCTTCCCTTCAGTGGCAAAGCTCGTAAAGATTGTTCGAAGAGCAAGGCGGAAGCTGAGGGTCATCTGTGATGTGAAGACTGTACGAGGACAGGGTCTCCACATGCAAGGTGGACAGGAGAAGCACAGCTGATCAGATGCTGATGCCGATCGCTGCGACAGGCATCGCAGTGAACCAGGTCAAGCTGCAATGGTCCAAGGTTTGGACGCGTCAGGGGTGGGCGGCGTGGGCACTTCACATCAGCGCGACGGGAGCTGGGCAGGCGCCGTACAGGGAGTGGTCGGAGAAGTGCTCCTGCGACCTGTCACAGGCCTGGCTCAAATTGCATGGCTCCTCTCCGGCCCGTTGAAACTCCCTCAGGTCATGAGTTTGGGATATGCCTTCGCTGCGCGAGCTTGCTCCCCAGAGAGAATGTAGAGACGTATAGGACCGGGGTGAGCACTTCATTTTTGAGTGTTTGTTTTGGAGCGGTTCAATCTTTTTCTCAGGTTTTTGGGGGACAGGGTTTCGTTTCGCCTTGCACCGGACACTTCCATGGCAGAAATCTCCGGGACACGTGGGCTGTCAGAACACCGCAGCTTCGGATGCGGCAGTTGAAGGCGACCTGGCTCTTCCCGGACCAGGTGTCCCCGCATCATTGTTTCTCCCTGCGCTCGCCTTAGCCAAGTGTTCTTGTTGGTTCCATCGCCCGAGCACGTGCCGGCAAGGCAGACTCCTGCCCGCTCCTTCGACTTCATCTGCTTCTCCGACAACGATGTGGAGGCGTCACGGAGCCGTTTCAGCTCCTTTGGACTTTCGCGTTTGTGAAGGCTCTGGTGCTGGTGATCAGCAGGCTGTGCACCAGGACTCCGCCGGTAGGCTCCAAAGAGCCGCACCGCAGGGTCGTTTGCGACGGCTGTGCTGAGAAGACTATCGTCTGCAGGATCCGCGGCTGGCCCCTCCATGGCGGCGTAAGCTCCCACGCGAAGTGCGCCATGTTCAGCATGTTGTTGCGACCTGCGTATTCCTGTCGATTTCACCCTGTTTTGGACTGATACCGCAGCCAGTCTGACATGGTACAAGCAGCATGCAATGCCTGGTCTTTCTTCCGTGACATGCAAATCCAAGTGTGGCCGGCTTGCATTTTCTGTGTTGCGACCGGCCCACATAGAGTGATCAAACGTATAGGAATGTATGAATTGGCCACACTTCCAATGGTTATATCCCGCAATTTACATCGATTCACAATGCCATGTCGACGAGCTCGTCCAATGTCTCGTCCACCTCTCACAGCTCAGATGCAGGAACCCTGGTTCGTCCCAGTCTTGTCAGCGACAACTCCCGACGCTTTCTCCGTGAAGCTTTGGAGAGATCCTGCCTGCAGTTCGAGCGGCGGCATGGCTATGTGCGACCACGCCGATTTTTGCCCAGTGGTCACGAGTGCATCATCAAGGACCTGGGCGAATGCGGCGATCGGAAATGTGGAAACTATCGCTTGGGAAAGTACTCAGCTGTTCGACCCGACTTCTTGAAGTTCTGTGTGGAGCATATCAAGACATGCTGCTCCAAAGCTGGTCTCGTTTACTGTTCACTTGGGAGTGGCCAGCTCCTTTTCGATTGGGAGCTGCTTGAGCACCTTATACAGAAGGAGGGTGTGCATGTCCGTGCCATTCACCTAATTGATATTGCCTACGGCGGCACGAAGCATCGTGCTAGTGCGGTGCGGGCACAGCGGCTTTTTGCCGGGTGGTTTCAGGAGGGTGCGTGGGACCAGGGCCAAGCTCAGAAAGGCGGACCTTGCCTCATTCGCAGCTTTCTGACAGCAAGCGACTTCCAGAGTTGGGTAGTACGGACTGGTGAACATGTGGATGTTCTCCTTGACTGCGATGCTGTCAGTGCCAGGAAGAAGATGGATGTTGACAAGTTTCGTCTTTCAGTTCTGAAGGCAGGTGGTGTTTGCCTGGTGCTGTCGAATCCTGCAAAGCGCATTGCGATTCAGAAGTCTGCCAACGGCAAGAAAGGGCTTCGCGAATTGGTGCAGCAAGTGTACCGACGCGGAGCTTGGCACTCGAGAGCTTCTGTCAGCCATGACCGATCGCCCAGCAGGAGACAGAAAAAACGCCGCTGCACGTCCACGGAGGATGAACAAACCCAATGTACCACGAAACGGAAGCGACGCCGCAAACGGATGTGTGCTGGTTGAATCTTACCGCTCGACATTGCTCTTCAGTCCGGCTGTCGGCGACAAAAAAAGTCTGATTCAGACTGGACTGGTCGATGCAGCAGACATGCCACTCTCGCGGCATTCCTTGACACTGCTGATATGTCTTCATGAGATAATGCTTCGGCGCGCGAGGTTCACTGCCATGAAAGGTTGGAGCAAGGTGCAGCCGAGCGCTAAGCACTGTCTTGATGCCGCCGCCCGAATCATGCAACGATCAGCACATGACACCCGGTCCATTCTTGGTTGCAGCCAAGGGCCGCCTGTCGTTCCAACAGGAATCAGCCCCTCAGCACCTACCTGCGAGAGGCGCTCTGGCCCTTTCAGGGAGCTCCACCCAGGCCTGGTGTCGGACCGAACTTTTGTCAGGCAGCTGAGAAGATGCCAGCTCGCCAGGGCCCCGGGGGTGGGGGACCCACTTGACAGCGTAAGTCTTCCTTCCCTCCGGATGCCCCCTGGCAGGTCCGAGCCAGCTGCCGCGGGTGCCATCTCCTGACGAAACGGACGAGGAGGAGGAGGAAGAAGAGGAGATCGACGAGGACTGTGTCGTCCCGCTTGCGCTGTTTCTCTGTTCATTGGTTTCTCTGCTTTATTGCCCGAACGAAGTCACGGAGTCAAGAAGTCTAGTTGTGCGAGGATGAGAACTCAAAGTGAAGCTCTTTTTATCTAAGGCACTCTCCGAAGGAGTTGTGCACAGGAGACGCTAACGACTTCGCCGGCAGTCCAATGCAGACTGTGACTACGCCTGCCTGATGCAGTCAAAGATGGAGTGCTGCTCTGGTAATCGAGAGCCTGTTGCGCTTTCTTTGCTTGCCTTCAGGCAGAGCCCTTCTGCATGCTCCTGCTGTTGCCGCTGCCAGCACCAGCAAGCAAGTTTTGGTGTGATCACAGCACGGACGGCAGATTAGAACGATTTGCGTTGAAGACCCGGGGGGAACGATAATTGCTCAAGCGCGTCGAATAATCGTGTGATCTCTTCGGGGAGGCGGGCATTCAGTCTCGCAGACGAACGTGGAGTCATAAGTCAGAAGTTATGACTGCATTTAGTTTGAGGTGAATGCATGTGCCCTTCTGAGAACAAGAGATAGTACTTACAAGAGGCGAAAACCGATAGAGTCTGGATACTGTTCTCGTATTCCACAATATTCAACACAGAAGAATGTCCTATGCCAATGCAAATTTGGATTGATGCATCCCAGAAGCTACATGACATGCAAACAGCACTGACCTCCCAAGTTCAGCTCCTCACTACGCCCGTCCAGTGTGATGTCCCCTGCCTGCCCCACCTACAGAGCAGATGGTTCTGATTCTTGAATGTTCAGATTGTCATGCAGGGGTGGTGAGAGCCATGCATTGCGGTGACATCCCCGAAGACCTAGCACACCATTCCCGATGTCTTGAGTGCCATGGCCGGCGGCAGTGGAGATGGGGTTTTTGACGACCACGGAGCACTGGAGCTGTCGTCGGCCGCTTGGGATAACTTCCGGCAAGTGGGCGACTTAAACGGGGCAGCTAATGCATTGCGCAGTCTGGTGTCGGCGAAGTGTGCGCTCCTGGATCACGATGTGGTGGAACTCGCCCGGGCTGGTGTGGATGTGTGCCACAACTCCAGAGGCCGTCAGCTGGGAACAGAACTGGCAGAGGCAAAGATGCTGCTGGCATTTGCAGAGGCTGCTTGTAGGTCTGAGCCCTCGAGCATCTTGTGCAGCGAAGCGATAGCAGCTACGGAGAAGGCTCACGAGACTTTTCTGGCCACCGGTGATGCTGTACACCGAGCCGAGTCCTGCGTGTGGCTTGCCAAGCTTCATGTCTGCCAATGTCGAGAAGAAAACTCCGACTCCGAACATTTGAGGCTATCCAAGAAAGCTTCTGCGCTTGCGTTTCAGATTGCGGACTTGTCCGGCGACACGCGGGGCAAGGCGAAAGCGTGGTTGGCCATGGCAGCGGCTGCCTTCGTTGAGGATGGAGAGTGGCAGCCACCTGCCGAGAAGGCGCTTGAGGCTTCTCAAGACGTAGGCGATCCGGAGCTGGAAGTCGAGGCGCGGCTGGCGCTGGCTTCGTGGCACTTGCAGAAGGGAGCACCAGCCTCCTGTTTGGAGCACGCACAGGAGGTGCTCGACATTTTGCAGGAGCAGGGTGCTGGCAGTCATCGTCAGCTTGAGGCAACACGGCTGGCTTGCGCTGCACATGTCGAGTTGGAGAACCCGGGCCATGCCCAGCGCCTGGCACGAGAACTTCTCCGATCGGCACAGGTCGATTCCACTTTGAAGGTTCAGGCCTATGCCTCCAGGCTCGTTGCTTCAGTTCAGCTCGCGGCCGGCGATCTTGATTCCGAGTCGGGTGCCATCGTTGCAGCAGAGCGTGCCGCGAGCTTGTCTCGCAGCTGCAGTGACCTGCAAGCAGAGGCAAGGGCAGTGTTGCTTGTGTTGCAAGCAGCGCGACGGAAGCTGGCAAAGGCCCCACTTTCGGGCCAAGAGGGTGCCAAAAAGACATGCCTCCTTGCTATGCAGACGGCGTTCGGGCTGGCTGATGCACGTGATGGCTTGCAGTTGGCGGTAGAGCTGTTGGGCAGCACAGTGGAGACCCTGAGCCTATTGGGAAAGGCTTCTGAGGCACTCCCCCTTGCCACGAGGCTGCAGGCGGTGTGCGAGGAAGACTTGTCGTTGCTGGCCTCGATTCTGTCCGCCAGGGGCAAGGTCATGTTGGAGAGCCGCCGCTTCGGGGAGTGCGTTTCTTCTGCACAGGAGTCTGCTCGTCTCTACGAGGAAAGCGGTAAGCAGCTCGAAGCAGCCTCTGCACTCTCCGTTGTCGCCCAAGCACAGATGAAGCAGGGAAAGCTTAGCGCAAGCCGGCAGAATGCACGCCGAGCTCGGCGACGATTCGGCGAAGCCGGAGATCACGAACAGGAGATTCAGCTGAGGCTGGTCGTGGTGCGCGCGTGCCTGGCAAAAGACGAGAGAGGCAATCGTCAGCAACGGGACGCCTTCCGAGAGGCCCAAGAGGCCATGAAAATGGCCGCGGAGCTGGGAAAGGCCGATCTGATGGCCATGACGCTGGCGGCCTATGCTCGGGCTTGCTACGAGATGGACCAACATGATAGCTGCTGTCAAACCGTGGAGGAGCTGTTGCAGATGCAAGCTTGCAGGTCCGATTGTCGCTTGAGTGCTTTGTGACTCTGCCTGAATGCATCGGTCCATTACTTCCATTCATGAAATCCTCTGTGGAAGTGGCAGTCCCAGTCTCAGGTACTACGGTGCTCTGGCCAGTGAGAAGCTTGGGCAGTACCTCAATGCCAAGAGATACGCGGAGCAGGCGCTGGAGACCGAGGCGGCCGTGGGCACCGGCAACACCTTGGCCGAGCAGGCGATGTGCATCTCCGAGACCGAAGCGGCGGCCGCATGGTAGCAGTGGTTAAGCTCAGACTGCAAGCAGTTGCGTCATGCTCAGGAAATCATCGGCGAGTGTCGGGTGCTCTGCGACTCATTGCAGAAGAAGCTGCTGCTCACACGAGCCACGGCCCCACTGCTGGTGCAGGACGGCTAGCGGCTCGCAGCGGCTAGAGTATCAATTCAAGCAGCTCTCCTGAGTCCGGCATGACATGCTGCGCCCTGGGCATCCCTGGGCCCTGGGCCTATGCTGGAGCTTTCTGAGGAGAAGTGGCAGCAAGACGAGAACAGGCGAGCACCGAACTCGGATCGAGGCAGTTTCCGGATGCCTGGTCCTCGCACATGACTCAGTTACATCACAGAAAAATTCCTGCAAGAAGGTGACTGCACGGCGGTGGATCTGAAATGCCATAAGTGCGGGTGCCGCTTGCCATGGGACTGCAACTTCTGCCCAGACTGCTTCTAGGCCAAACTCAAGATTGCGCTGCTTTTGCAGCCTTTTGATTCCTGCACTGCTGCTTGTTAGGCTCTGTTAGGCAATTCGAGTTTCCCAGAGTTTTCTCCGAGGTGGAGCCAAGCAAATCAAGCAGGACAAACAGGCCGCGGCCAGACCATCAACGAGGTCCCACGGCCCCACAGAGGCACAGCATTCTGGACGGCCAGTGAAGCCAGCAGTCCAGGCGCTCCCGCCTGTCATGTCAGTTTGGATGTCCGGAACTTGTGCAAGGGGTTGTAGAGCAGTGAGAGCTTGATGCAAGGGTGGATTTCTCAACCGCGCAATGCAGAAAGAAGAAGATGCGCCTCTGCAGCGCAGAATCCAGGAGATTGCTGGCAAGCTGCCACTTGGGTCGGCGTTGGAAGGGGAGGTGGTTAGGTTTCAGGTGCGGCCAGGCAGTCCAGCTGTCCAAGGCTGGGGTTGGATTGGCAGAGCATCGAAGGGGACGTGCCCTTGAGTGACATTGGCCTCTCCAGCGGTGCCGCAGTGATGCTCCGTGATGAGCTGCAAGCAGACGTCCGGGGTATCAAGCTGCCTGCGACTCTGTTTTTCGACAATCCCACCATCCGTGAAGTTTTAACGTATCTCAATCGTTAGTAATCGCGGCATCTCAGCTGGCAGAACATGCTGGCCAGGGGGTGCCGGAAGTGGTTTCAATCTGACGGCTTCAGCAAGGTCTAGCCTGAGCTGCAGAAGAACTGTCCGCTTGTTCTCCAGGGTCTGCCAGCTGCCTTTCGACACGTTCTTCCGAGGTCGTGAGCGTCTGTGTGTGCGATGCATTTCCATGGTCGATGATGTGGCTGTGGGTCCAGCTTTTTTCGACGCCTGAAACCTCATGGGAAAGGAACGTGTGGCAAGCGCGGGATCAAGCTAACGGTCACCTAAACAGATTCCACCCCTAAAGTGGGCCGCCCACTTCATGCATCTCCCAGTCATCTCCCTCCCATACTGAATGGACAGATGAAGTTGGGCAGCAATGGCTTCATCACGCTACCCGACCCAGAGGCGGGTGCTTGCCGTCAATATAAGGACGTCGTCCGCACCTTCAAGAAACCATGTCAGGTTGCTTTGCACGCTGTGGTCGAAACAGCGGTGGGCGTCTTCCACGGCCAGCTTCCTTCCTCCGCCGAAGCGGCGCTGGTCACCGCCTTCCCGGCTTCCAGCGTCCCTTGGGTTTGCGTCCCCGGAGCTGCGAAAGTCACGGAGTCCAAAAGAACTCAACCGCAGAGCGGGGCCCGGGCCTTCGGCACCGAAAAAGACGAAGACAGTGCCTTCGATGCAGGCAGCTTCTGTTCGAAGGGTCGTCATGGAAGCATCGCTTCTAGACCCAAGGTGCCGCCGGAAGCATCCCCGAGGAAGAAAGGCGGAAAGAAGCATAGACATTCAACAGACTTGGAGGAGTTGTCCTCGCCCTCACCTCAGATGCCGGCAGTTCCCAGGTTTGGGCAGCGCCAGGCCAGATCACACTTCCATCCGAATCGTGTAGCCGAACTTTCAGGGTGAAGCCGCAAAGGCTTCTGCTCGGGTTGCCCGGTTGCCGTCCTGTTCAGTCCGTCTTAAGGCTTGAGGTGCAGGGACTGCAATCTTCCCTTCATGGAGCAAGCTTCCACTTCGAATGGAGCAGCGAAAGCAGGGGGGAGAAGAGGGTTTGGGTTTGGGTGTGCTCCACAAACGACTCCGCAATCTGCACGAGACAGCAAGGCAAGTCAGGATAGAGATGACCTAGTGTTGTTTGACAGCTCCAAATCACCGTCCGAGCGCTTCGCAAGCCTTCCCCAGTAGGGACCATGCCACCGATCAAGTTCCTTTCAAGGTTTCGGTGCTCTCTCTCCGTTCAGCATTCCTCTGCCGGATTAGACGCCGGAAGGCAGCATTAGTCCTGTGAGGCACATCCTTTGTAGAAGAAGTCGCTCCGAAATCCAGAACCGCAAGTAGCAACACAGGCTAAGGAGAGGAGTAGGAGGCGCATCAGACAGAAAAGGAGGGGACGCTAACAGCGATTGCACATCCTCGGCCTCTGGTGTCCTAATTTCGGACTTGTTTGAGAAGCATCGCTCACATTTGTCAGAGGTTCTGCAGGCAGTTTTGAAAGCAGGGAAGAGTGGCAGCCCTTGTGGCAGGCCAAAAAACTGGCGCAAAGGCCTGTTGCCGCTCTACCCAGAACTCCTCAGTTTTTCGTCCGCTTCGGCCCACCGATGACAGCAGAAGATCTCACACATGACGCACCTTCTGTGCTGGTGGAATCCCGGAAGCTGATCGATGATGTCTTGGAGCGGCGCGACAAGCTGCAGTCCGCTCCGGACTACGTGGCACCGGACACGCCCTTTTGGCGCGTGCCTGCGAAGAGAAGAAACAAGAAAGGCCCCAAGTGGGAGTTCCATCCGCAAGATGCAGAGGATGAAGGCGAAGCAGCCCCTGAGCAGCTCCAGGGCATTGTGGACCTCGGGAGAAATCCCCTTGGCCGGACTCCGGGGGGCCGCCGCAGGTCCGAGCCGCTGTCCCCAAGCAACGCCACCTCCAAGCTGCTGCGGGCAGACGAAGATCGCCCTGCCGAGGCGGATGTGCCCCAGGGCCCCACAGAGCCGGAGTTGCACAGAGAGAGACCTGGCCGAATGAAAAGGGTTGCGAGACGAGCTGAGAGAACTTGCATAGCGACATAGGTGCATTCGCTCGCTGAGGTTGGATTCACCGTTGGACGATGCCGCTGCGGGTGCTGCAAGTGTGGTGGAGAGTGGAGGAGCGACCCGGCCTTCGCGCCGTCCCGAGGACAGCCTAATCGCCGCTCTACGGCGAAAGGCCACCGAGTATGCGCAGACCGGTGTGGACCCGGAGCTTCTGCAGAGCTTGTCGGAGGCTTTGCAGCACCATCCGGGCACGGAGCGGGCGGCGAGGCTGCGCGAGATGCAGAGCTGTGAAAAGGACTTCGAAGCACTGGTGATGGAAGGAAAGGCATCCGTCGCCAACATCAACGAGCTCATTCGAGCGCAAGCGCTGCAAGGCCGGATGGCAGATGCCATGCAAACGCATGATGCCATGAAGCTTCATGGCTATGCGCCTGATGCTGAGACCTTTGTTTCCCTCCTGGCCGGGGCGGCGCATCAGCGAAATGCCGATCTTGCAAGGAAGCTCTTCTTGAAGATGCGGGAACAGCTGATTTCTGCAACCCCAAAGGTGTACGCAACCTTGATTCAAGCTCATGTCCGTGCAGGTGACACTGCATCGGGATATGCTCTGTTGCGAAAGATGGAGGACGAATCAATTCAGCCCGATGTAGTAGTCCACACTGTGCTCATCAACGGACTGGTGAATGAAGGGCGAATCGAGAGGGCTTGGGAGGAGTTTCATGCGGCCAGGACCTGGAAGTTGATTCAGCCTGATGAGGTACTGTTTACTGTTATGATCAAAGCCTGTGCGATCATGCAAGAGGCAGAACGAGCTCTGAACCTCCTGGATGACCTTCGGACGTGTGGGCTATATCCGACAGACATCACCTACGGGGAGCTAATCCATGCCGTTTCTACTACGTCTGACCATGCGCGCAAGGCTTTCGATTTCTATCGGCAGATGCAGGCTGAGGATCTGCCCGTGAGCGCCTTTGTTTTTGAGCACCTGCTGCAAGCCTGCAGGCACTTGGGAGATGCCAAGCGAGCGAAAGCTCTCGTTGAAGAAATGGGTGAGCAACATGTCGTTCTAAGCCCTGTCATGTACAATCATCTGGTGGGCCTTTTTGCAACAGCAATGCGGCGGCCTCACGTGTCAGATGTGGAAAGGCTGCAAAACCTGCGCCATGCATGGGGCGTGGTCTCTGCTGCTCGTGAGGCATATTCAGACAAGCTTGACTGGACGAGCTTGTTGAATGAGATCGTGGGTGTCTATGTGGCAGGAGGATTTTCTGATTTCGCCATGGACATGTTGCCGCAATACGCTGTCTTCGGTGCAGAGCCTGATGCGGAGACCTGGGAGCATTTGCTGCGCATGCTTGGGGAGAGGGACATCGGCCGCTTCTTCACGCTCTGGAACAGTGTCCCAAAGCCGCTGCCGGAGGAGCTGTATCAAGTGGCCTTGGATGTTGCGCTGCGCTCGCGCTCATCGCAGCAGACCTGCGCGATCTTGGAGGAAATGTACACGGTTCCCGTGTTTCCAAGCCCACAGCTGACAGAGCGCCTGGCCAGAGCTGGCCGGCACATCATTCAGCATCTTGGTGCAGAGCATGAGAACGGAAAGTTTTGACGTAGTTTTGTCAATTGTCCTGTGTTGGAGGAGCCCATTGTCTCTACTCATGCATGCTTCGCATGCTTGCATTGCCCTCGCTCTCTCTCTCTCTCTCTC